GCCTAAGAAAAATTGAATGGAAAATGATAACAAAAATTTGTAAAATTTTTTATTTTTCGAGGTGTGTGGAGATTTACATGGACAGTACGCTGATTTACTTCGTCTGTACAATCGTTGTGGTTTTCCACCCGATGCTAATTATATCTTTCTTGGTGATTATGTTGACAGGTCATAATCGTCAAATTATGCATTAATTAGCTAACTTATTCTGCCATAAAATTACCTAACGTACCATTAAAACTGATGAAGATAATGTATTTGCTGCATCATCGCTAATTACAAATGCAAAAATTAAATAAATTATTGAGATAAGATCATTTGTAAATTTTTGTTTCCTTTTTTTCTAGAGAGCTCTGACACTCATATTATTCTAGCTTACGTTAAATTATATGATCGTTTCATTAAATTAATATTCAAATTTATAATCATAATTTGCAAGCATAAGCATCAATTGGATTTTCTTTAAAAAAATTAAATGGTTTCATTTTTAGCCATTTTATTTTTTTATTTTATTTTCTGCTGGAAGCTAATGTGAATAGAAAAAAATTGATACGAAATTGTAGAGGTAAACAAAGCTTGGAAACAATTTGTTTGCAATTCTGTTACAAAGCAAAATATCCGGAAAATTTTTTCTTGCTACGTGGAAATCACGAATGCGCCGCAATCAATCGCGCTTACGGCTTTTATGATGAATGCAATCGACGTTACAGTATACGCTTATGGCAAATGTTTCAGGTATGCTAATTAGTCATCGTATCAATTGGTTTGGCATTTAACTCGTGAATTTATATTTGTTAATATTTTAATTCATGTGATAATTAATCTATTTGCAGGATTTCACAAATTAGTATACAATTTATAAAGTGAAATCATTTTTTTTTTAATTTTTGTTAAGAGAAAAAACAAATAAAATTGAAATACTCAAATTCAATTTAAGACAATGTGTAATGTGTGTTTTTCATTTTCTTTCGGATTTTTTTTTTTGCTTTATTTATTTCTCTTTTGAAATTTTGCAAATGACTATTATTGATGATCAAATTAAAATTGACGGCTAATTTCAGGATGTATTCAATTGCTTACCATTTTGTGGCTTAATAGCGGGGAAAATATTTTGCATGCATGGTGGTTTATCACCAAAGCTAAACAGTTGGGATCAGGTTAATTAATTATTCATTTAACGAGATTTTTAAAAACTACCAAAACTTTGTTATCTGACAAATTTTTTTTTTTTGTATTTTAGCAATTTATTAACAAAATTGACATCCATTTTATACAGGTTTCCATCCGGTTTTCAACAAACAAAAAATTTTTAAATTATTATCGGCTTTTTTGAAAATTATTTACCCCAAATGAAATAATATTACAGTTATTGCACATTGAAAGACCGATAGATCCACCGAATCCTTCAATTCATATCGATTTACTTTGGGCAGATCCAGATAAATGGGTTCGTGGCTGGCAACAAAATACACGTGGCGTATCGTACGTTTTCGGTCCCGACGTAGTAAATGCATTTTGTCAAGATATGAACATTGATCTTGTCGCCAGGTGCCATTCAATTTATTGCTACATAAATTAAGCTATACATAAAGTTTTGATCTCAAAATACTTGGAAATTATGTTCAATTTTAACACTAATTGGATAATTCAAGAGAATGATGTATTATGCGTTGTGATGGATGATATCTTAGAGAAAGTTAGAAATCAAAATTATTTTAAAATAATTATGGTCCGCAAACACTTTTTATTCTAGTTTGATATTTTGATAATTGACATTCAAAAAATTATTAAATTAAACAAAATTTCAATTAGCTGGGCCAAAAAATATATTGCAAACGAATAGAGTGAGTTAAATTTAATATACTATATGAAATTTTACTCTTGCTATGCAAATTTTAATGTGCTATATGAATTTACCTTTAATTTACAATATGTATTTCAATCGTTAGCACAACAGTACATCATTATTATTAGCTTATCATTTTAAACTATTTTTTTCACTAACGAATAACATTAAATAAACAAATAAAAAATTATCCATTTAAAATTGAAAAAAGGAAAACATTGCGCACATTGCAATACTTTAGAGAAAGTGAAAATTTGAAAGTGCATGATTGATCTCTGATTTCTTTGGAATANAAAAAAAAAAAAAAATTTTCTTTTAGAGCACATCAAGTGGTTCAAGATGGATACGAATTTTTTGCTAACCGTAAATTGGTGACAATTTTTTCCGCTCCGCATTATTGCGGTGAATTTGACAATGCTGCAGCAATAATGACTGTGGATGATCAATTACTCTGTTCATTTGATGTGCTTCGCTCAACCAATAATCCAATTCGTATCTCGCAATCTTAATCAATATAAATTTTAATTCATTTTCATTTTTAATCATTGGAAAAAATGATCATGTATTTAAATAAATTTGGAACGAAATTTCATGCAGACGAAACTATATGATCATATTTTTTTTTTCAAATGATTTTAAGTCATTTTCATTTAAAAAAAAACACACACACACACACACACATACACAAAACAAGGTATCATTATGATTAGATATTTTTCATTTTCATCATTAAAACATATTTTAGAATAACAAGTAGAAGATATTTTAAAATAGTAGATTGTTTACCAGGAGAATATTTAATTGTTTAATATACAGTGTTAAGGTTAAGTTTTTATTACAACCGGATATTTTTGAAGTTCAATTTGTCTTCCCAATAATACAGATATCAAGATCACTGCATTAATTAAGCTGATTCTAATAATTTTATTGATTGTTACGAAATTGAAGTGTTTTTATTGATGATTCTGAAAAAAATTAAATATAATTGAAATAAATATCGTTATTGCTAGATGAGAAATTAAGGCAGTGAAAATTTTATCATCTTTTTCCTTAAAAATAATTTAAGTTTTGTTGTTATAAATGAAAAAAAAAAAAACAAACAAATTAAATGTTTCAAATTTCAATTCTAATTTTACATTTATCCTGTGAGAACTTTTTTTTTTTTTTTGTCAAAAATTTTGGAACAAAATATCATTCTAAAAAATTTTCACTAAATTGTTATTATTGCATGTGTTATTGACATCAATACTTACATATTTACTTTTCTAATAGCCATTCAATTTATATAATGGAAAATGTGACAAAAGATTATTAGCAAAAGATTATTTAGCCTGCACTTTGGCACGATGACTTGCGCTCTCGATCATTACGCATTTGATTTTGCACATCAAATGAATACGTTTTTGTTGAATTTGTATTGAAAGCTATTGATTGATTGAAATTTATTCACTTTTGTGAACAAATCATTCGAGATTCATTCATTTTTTTTGAACAAATCATTGAAATGCATTCATTTTTTTTTAGATAAATCATTGAAATTCATTAATTTTATGAATAAATTACATTGAGCTTTTTTTGGATTTGATTTATTATTAAAAAATTTTTTTTTAATTCTTATCCTATCACATTGCTACAGATGATGGTTGAAATACTTCAAGTTTGCTATTATTATTACTTGACTGATCATAGTTTGCCGTGAAGCTTTTTTTCAACGATTTGCTAAAAAAATGAATAAATTTCAATGATTTGTCCGAAAAAAAATGAATAAATTTTAAATAATTTGTTCAAAAAATTTGACAAAAAATGAATCCTGCTTTTTGCATGCAATATTTGTGTCCGAAATAATTAATAATTCATCATGAAAGTTAATTATATAAATTTTTTTCAATTTATTCAATAAGCAATTGTATGAAGAATTCGCGTACTACTGCACTCAAAAAAAAGGTGAAGAAATATCCAAAAAAAAAGCAAATATTCCGCTTGAAGTATTTTACAGGTAGTCTCGAGGGAAGGAAAGGTAAAATATGATTTTAACAGAATTTTGTCAGTGAAATAATAAAACAAGAATGAAATTGTTTTTGAGGCTGTGATGATTTTATGAAATTTTTTTAGTAAATTGAAAGTTTGTTTTTTTTTTTTTTAAATTGATATTGTCATGCAAAATAATTGAAAAGGATTTATTGATTTCTTTTCAGAATACAAACATTTTAATATGCTTTCATAATTTGCTTCAGCTGTTCTATGACTTTCCAACTACTTGCCAGGCCTTAAACCATCGGCGCGTCCTATTGCAATATTCTTTTTCGCTACCAAATTCAGAACGGGCAGCGGTAACAGTTGACCCTAAAAATGAAATTTTAATTAATGGAGATGAATTTTTTTACGTTTTTCAGCAATCAAAAAGAATGAAATTAATATTACAACACATTTACAGTGAATATAGTAAAAGCGGAATAAAATGAAAATATTCAAATCAAAAAAGTCAACTGAAAAAAGCGAAATTTAAATATAATATAGCATAGTCATATACTGTAATAGTAAGTATGAATATAATGAACAAAATTAATGAATTTAAAATTCAAGTATTAATTGAATTCATTTCGGAATTGATATTCAAATGGAAATCAGGAAGAATAATTGTGAAAAAAATCTGAACGGATCATTACAATCCATACACAATAAGAATGAAAAAAAAAAGAAAAAAAAACAGACCAGTGATAAATTCGGTCGATCGTAATCAAATGATTTCAAGTAATTAGCATAAGGTTCATAGTTTGCTTCTTGAAAAATTGGTAATCCTTGAACAAATTTTACAAATGCTGCTAATAGTAGCACCAATGAATAAGCTACATCTACCATAATCTTCCACTGAAATTTTTGCAAAAAAGCTATAAAATTAAGCATAAATTATATTGAACAATTTTTATATATTCAACAATTTTAATGAATTTTGATCATTCAAAAGAGCAAAAAATGCAATCTTTTTTGAGAACGAGAAAGTACTTTTGAAAATAAAATGTATCAGAGTTAAAGCACTACGATGTACTTCGTTATATTTCATAAGGGATAAAAAATAGCTTCAATTACTCCTCATTTCCCTTTCATTTTCTGTTTCAAAAAAAAAAAAAAAGGATGAGAAAGAAAACCTGTGAGAAGGAAAATATGATTAGCGATAATAAAATAGGAAAATCATTGAAATGAAATTTAAAAGGGTATATTTTAAAAGATTAAAAATATATTTTCCACTTATTTTCTTCCACTCATTTTCACAATCTAATTAATTTTTTCAAATTAAATATACTCAAAATGGCGAAATTTATATGTTACTAGTTTATATGGAAATAATTTTTGCGTAAATTTTTATTTAAATGAAACTGATCCATATTTCTTGCTAGCAGGGAAATACCGCTAAAATGAACAATCTTTTCATTTTATCCTTTCCATCCTTTAATGAAAAAAACAAAGAAAGAAAGAATTATTTGTTTAAATGAGACTGATTAATATTTAAGGACCAATCAAAAATTTGCAGACATGCCTAATAGTTGCCATGCTTGCACGATTTTAATGAAAGAATGAATAGACATACGTATATAAGTATGAATAAAATAATTTTTTGTTAATTTTCCAAAAAATTTTAATAAAAAACTGCAAATGGTATGATTTATAGGAATATAATTTTGCACGTCAATGAATGCATTTATGATTAGTATTGTTGAATAGACATTTTGCATATCGTTAAAATTGTTAGCCTTTTATATTTTTCATTAATAATCATATATGTTTTACTATCAATGATATGACAATACATATTAACTGATATCTTTTATTTTGCGTAACTCAGCTACAAATTCGTTTACGTCAGCAATTTTTAATTGAAATAAACAACAGAAATTAATGATGATAATTTTGTAAACCTTATTTGTTGCGTAAAATTGAAAATTGAAATCATGAGTACTTATCAGATTAAATGAGAAAATTTAGAATCGTTGATATAAATAACCTGAAGATAATTGGATAAAATGAAAAATAAAATAAATAGCACTGGAATTAGCGTGTTTGTATGAAATAAATAGCATTGGAATTAGCGTGTTCTGCATCATTACGTAAAATTAATGTATTAGTAATCGGGTATGTAGCACCATATTACGATGCAAAATGTTAAATACGATAAAAAATGTTAATTACGATACAAAACGTTATACTGAATATTGAGGAACATTTGTTAATATTTTTTTAATTAGGATTCCACCTTTTTTTTTTTACTTGTAATAAGCTAATGATCGATTATTCATTCAATAATTATTAGCAGTAGGAAGGATGGATAATTAAATTAATTGCATCATAGCTGGTTAGATTTTGTTACAGTGCATTGAAAAATGTGAAAGACGTAAAACATTTTAGGAATTCTTGCATTCATACTATAACCACAACATTCATTTAGCCAACGAATTAATTTATATTCAATATCACCGAAAATATATGCATAGAAATATTCTAATTACCAAAAATTATATTAATTAAACATGCTAAAAATATAAAACGATGTGGTAATTTAACATGCTTTATACTATGATAATTAAATTTTGTTTCATTTATCAATAAAGATATGCTCACTGACTACGCTGAATTGTTTCATTATTAATGCCCTTAAAAGTAACATAAAAATATATCACACATTGAAAAGATTTAATAATGATGTTAAATACTTTGCAAATAAATTTAAATAATATTAATATTATTTGCTTAACCTTTTTATAACGTTTAATATAATGTTTGATCTTTTCTTTCTTTTAAATTTCTGCAACGCTTAGTATTTTTAATGGTAATGGTGAAATAATTTTTGTTATCATTTTAAAACTTTTTTATAGATGCAAATAGCAGTTATTCATATCGTTAGTTTTATAGATCAAACTATTATCGAGACGACAAATTGATGCAAATTTTAAAAAAAAAATTACGTATTACGTATAGGCTTAATATATATTTGCTGCCAATAATTATTGCAAAAATCTATGCAAAATATATATGAACTGACCCTATAGTAATAAAAAGTAACCATAAAAAATATTTACAAATTTTTCGACAAATTTAATTTTTTAAAATTTTTAAAATGCAACAAATTTTTCTAAAAATTTCAGTTGAATTTTTTATGGTACGACTGTTTGAACTACCCCACATATAAATCATCTCTGTGATTATGGTAAGTAATCAATGTGGTTAAATTACTTAATTATTCCTAACAAAAATTATTTAGATCACTTAATTACTGTTAACAACCGGACAGAATAAATTTCAATATGAAATAAAGATGAAACATTAATTAATGATTAAACAAATAAGTGAGA